AATATCAGGGTATAGCTGACCGGTCAGGGGATGCCGAGCTCGAGATATTTAATATATACATTCCCCCAGTTACATGTTGCCCAACAGGATATCACCCGACTATACGTGCGCTACTTCGTGGTGAAAACCGTTTGATGCTAGGCGACTTTAACGCGCATCATGATCTTTGGCACTCCTGCCTGTCAAACGATTGTAAGGAAATGGAGCTGGCGGAACAGATTGGCGATTCGATACTCTGCACAATGAATGACGAAGCCCCCACCAGAATTATAATTGGTATGGTCCATCTTGTTGACTTTTATTAATGTTGTTATTGCGGTTGTTGTTGTTGGGATAAATAAAGAAGTCACTTGAGCTGACAAACGAGGAGTTGAAGACGTCATAATCACTTTTGGAGTATTGCATAGCTGGTTTGTTATTGTTATTGTAGTTGATTTTGGCTTGTTTGCTATTACTATTATTACTGTTATTATGTATGTCATTGTGATTATACTCGCTGCTGCTATTTAAACTTGTAAAGTCGTCGCTATCGTAATTAGTGAACAAGTTTCTGGAGGACTTAGTTGTCAAAAGGAGAAAATAACAATTTTTCGTTGTTGCTTTGGTTGGTTTTTTTTTCATGCGTAAGCAATCATTTTACTTTTTTTTATTTTGATGAATTGAGAATAGAAATCAAAAAATTAAAGAATTGATAGTTCCAGGATTTAATTGAGCTAATAAAGTCAAATGAAAGTATAAGTTAAATTATAGCAAATTGTAGTAAGTAAAAAAATAATATATTTAGAGCACATTCACTATAAAAAATTTAATTAAGCGAAATAATCACAATACCCAATAAATATTTGTGGGGGGCAGTAATTAGTTAAGAATTTTGAAACCGCATAATGCATTTTAGACCTTAGCAGACCATTCACCAAAGATATTGGCTTAAATTACTCATAAAAAATTTTTAAAAATTTTTTCTCTACTTGAAAATATTGTTTACGAGAAATTTTAAATTAATTTTCGTTTTTTTTATGAAATTATGGCATTTTGCTATAACTATATGGCTAAACGCACCTGAGACGCATTAGTGGAGATCCTGATTGATAGTCATAGCAAAACTCTTTTGCTGTTTGAGCTGGTTAATGGACGGTACCTGTAAATAACAGTAAGAAAACGGATAGGTTAATTTTTTTTAGCTTTCAGTAGCTTTTGACTATTTATAACCGAACTTTTCCACCATGCAAATATAACACAAGCGAATATTACATAAATGACTCACCTCAGGCTGTTGTTGTAGGAATAGATTTGTTTTTGATGGTATAACAGTATCGCTAAATGGACTGTAGGCAGCACTGCCAGCTTGTGACTGCGTTTGCACGGGATTTATTAGATTATTCAACAAAACTTATGACGAATTTTCACCTAAAAACGATTGCGGTGTTTTCAGTTGTTTGCTCGTAATCAGACAGAGAATCCATTTCATCGAGTAGTGATGCTGTGTTGAAGATACAAAATGATT